CTCATAATTGTGAACTTAAACTATTGCTTCTTGAACTTGTGCTCAGAATGTGTGGTGACATTGTGATCCACCCTGAGCTTGTACTCCTTTGCTTACTCTGCTGATTACACCCCACTTTGGCTATGGGGGTGTGTCAGAATGTTATCTTATGCTCTAGCCTGTAGTGGGGTTTAACAGATGGAGCCCCTGCATCTAGAGAGTGATGGCGGGGTACGCATTAAACTATCTAACACTTGGTCCAAACCGGATGGCGAAATAGGCGTACACCACAGAATCAACCGTAAGCATCCGTCTGATCCGGTAACAAGTTCACGCGAGGTGTATGTTGCCGCGGCAGCGGGAGATGGCGATGGTGAAAAGGACGGGTTGCAGAAGCGTTCTGATGAGCCAGCCACACAAGGAAAGCGGCGCGGTGTTACGAGGCCGTTCAAATCGCCAAGTTTTTACGTGCGTTATCAGGGAAAGGATCACACAAGGTTCTTCTCAGAGCAGATGGTCGGCGGGAGGAAGCGGAACATGGGGTTGCACATCACTGAGGAGAGTCGCAACTTTTCCGCAGCGATCTGCTTGATGACGTATTTTCCGGATACCGACCTCCAATACTACGGGTTGACGCCGCAGTCCATCAACATCTGGTCTCCCCAGCTTGCATTTGCGCAGATGTTGCCAACTGGGGTGTGGAGCGTGTTAAACGAACTCCATCTCGACCGGATGGAGAGGTGAGTTTCTGCCTTTATATTCTATATTAGACACGATAAACTACGCAATCAGTATTGATGCACAATTGCCGCCCTACTGCAGGTTTGATATCGTAGTGACGAGAACGAAGGAGCGGCTCTTGGCAGGTGACGATTGGGAACGTGCGCTCTGCACGGGAGTTGGGCAGTCGGTTCTGCATGCGAGCAGTGGTGTTGTGACGCCTACCCGAGGTGGCGGGATGGTGGTGTTCGCTGCTGGGCTTGCCGCAGCGCTTTATACTCTGTGGGCCTCGTCATTAGGAGTCACAAATGCTGACTACATCTCTGGCGCCAACGTAGCAGCACGAACCATCACACATGACGCTGTGCTTGCGGGGCTTGCTGCAGAAGCGGCACACATCTCTATCGCTGCTATGCAGCGCCGTGCCGGTGAACAGCATGGAGTGGAGGACTGGTGCTTGCTTCTAGAGCGCGAGATTGTCGAGCTGATGAATCCAAGGACGAACGTGCCGCAAGTCACTAAACTTGCTATGGTGGTGTCCAGGGCTATGGTAGACTGGTGTAAGTGCAACCACGCTGCGGCTGGCCTTCGTCTTCACCAAGGTGCTGCCATTAACATCCTATCATCATGTGTGGTGCAGCGCCAGAGGATGGCCGATGGAACACTCTAGGATGCTTTCAACTCCTTTGTACAGACCATTATCGTAGCATGTTTGATTAGACTTTGCATTTTCGGGTACCGTATTTCCGAATTCTGCATTTTGGTGTTGTGGTTGTGTAGAGATGTATTACTGAAACACTTGTTCAGCATGCAGCTGGCGTACTATGAATTAAGCGTAAAGTAACTTGTCATCGCAATTTGCCCAAAAAAACAACGAAATCCACAACAGAGTAGTGCAGACCTTCTTAATGTACTAATACACGTCGTAACTCTGAATGCGGGACAACAACGATACGTTTGGATCGAACGTGTAAAACCTACGTTCCGTAAAACTGACGGAACATCCAAATCACAAAGCGTCCACACCCACTCAATCTCGCACGCAACTAGATTGAGAAGGTCAATATCGAAACAGCCTACATTCTACAGACAATAGTCGGTGCATATTGGAACCTATAACTCTGCGACATACTTGAATGTGAAGGGTTGAGGGCTCTCGCCATAGTACGTGTACACGTCTACCGTTTCCCCACATACTATTTCTGAATCGGATCGTTTAATTTGAAATGTTAATAACGAGTTTACGTTTGGATCTACGTGGCTATCGCACAATTCAATGTCTACCATTCCGGTGCTTCACGCCAATCAATTCCTCAATCGGCTCGTTACATTTTCCATGTGTGTGGCGACCCAAAGGTGGAGTAAGCGGCATGTCAGCACGTGGCAATTTTTAACACGAGCAGATGTATTGCTGCGCGCCAAGGCCGTTGGAAAAATGACATGTGAGATTGCCAATATGCGACAGGTGTTAATCTGCTACCACAATCTGCAATCAAATGTCTATCCGAACAACATTGGTCACATCTATCTATGTAGACCCGATAAACGATTTCACAACACGTGGCAAATGTAGACAAGCGCAGCCAAAGCCAATCACTTACTCGTCCATTTGAAACGTCAATGTCAATGCCTTTCTGGCAAACGGATAGAAATCACGAACCGGAACATGAGGTGTGTTCGAAATCCTTAATCCGAAACGTCCGTGTCAATGCCTATGTGGCCCAGGATTGTGCTGCGCGCTAACAAATTTGCAGGTTTTCGGCTGCAGATGTGGCTTTTGACCGTAAATGTGACGTGGATGGTTTGAGATATGCGGCGCGCCAACACGAGCGCAGACACTCCCGTGTGAGGTAGCAGTACAACCCTAAACAAACACGTGGCATCTGAAGCTTTGCTTCCCCAACTCTAATGAACGAGGCAAAATCGAAATCTACGCGGACATACATTATGCCAACTCGTTGCAACATTGACGTTGCAACATAGAGTACCCTGCAGCGCAACACATGGCATATTTCCTGTCGAGCCGCCGCAAACTGATAAGGTTGCGATGGACATGCGTGAATCTGCTACATAAGAAGCGCGACACGGAACCACGCGGGACGAGACCTCCGGCACAACAGTTGCTCTGCATAGACGTGACAGGTGAATCATTTCCCGCGCAGAGGTGTTCAACCGTGAACATTCATGGATTCTCAGATCTACGCTGCCTCTTGCACTTGCAACATTTAGAGCATCCTCTTGTGTGTAGTCTTTAATACTAGTTAGCTTACCTCCGTAGCACAGCAAGGGCCAAGCGTATCTCGTAGCAACGGGCGTCGTTAGGCGATCTCCTGATTTAACAAAACATGATCTAGAATCTTATGGCAGAGCCACTTATTCTACGCGGATGCGGGGTAGCCGTAAGGATTTCGCAAGATGCATACCAAGCTTTCAGTTCGGCCGAGGAGGAATGGAGCGAAAATATGCTAGATTTCTCGATCTTGTAAGTATATTATTCTCGTCCAGAGGCATGCATCACAACGCTCTCTCTGAAGTACCGGCAGATTCAATTTTGACGTTAATAAAGGCATGCCCCATATTGCATGTATGCAATCTGTGTATTGTATCCACATCCCCCCCAGACTACAGATACAGGAGACGCTCACCAAAAAGCATCGTGCGAAGATTCGATTTTTTCCGGGATCAACTGTAAGGGAGTATATGGCTTTACAGCCTCGTAAGCCCATCGGCAAGGGCAGAGATCACGGACTTCTCGGCAAGCAGGTTATCGTCATCCCTCTCTGGTCGCGGTGCGTATAGTGATCTTAGACGGTAGTGTTCAAATTTTCCAAGCGGATATATAATTAATATCAGCGTTCTTATATTGTGCAGAGTATCGTTCAAGCCATCTGCACATATCAGTTTAATGGTCGTTCTCCATCCTGACGATCTCCTTGGGTCTTCGGACAATATCTTCCGCACGCGCGGCATGCACTACGACCCCAAGTCTGGTGTACCGACCCACGCGCACACTGATTTCGCCACAAAAGTGTTCTTGTGAGTGGTTTTTTCCATCTTTCAATGATTTGTTAGTGTGCCAGACAAACCCTCACGATCCAATCAATGATGCCCGCAGATGGCTAAAGGAGCAACTTCAGGTAGAATATTGCCAGCGAGACACATCTACGAACGTCCAAGCTGAGGAAGTGCTACGCGTGATGAGGAGTAGGCTGGATAGTCTGATGCTAGAGCGTTTAACGGTAAGGATGTATTTCTCGTATGTTCGTGGTCTTTGTTCATACTTCAATGTTAAACTAATAACATTCTCCAACATTTTTATTTCATAGCAGAACAAGACGCATCTCGGGCGGAAGGACAATGGTTCCGGCCTTCTGGTGTCGTACTTTTGGGGGAAGCTGGTGGAGAACTCGAACTTCGTGCTTTCGGTGCAGAGCGGGGGAACCTTTCCTGGACTTGGCAGAGGAACATACTCGAAGGAGGAGATACTAGACTGGTTGATCGACACATGCCGCGTGCACTTCGAAGGGGACAACAATGATGCAGACGTCGAACTGGTTGAGATCATCGATGACGCGGAAACAGGTTCCGCCTGCGAGGTCTCTTCAGAGGATGAGTTGGATGAAGAGGAACCTGCAGAGGTGCATACCGCCACAGTGGTACCGGATCCGGCTACAGGTCTGCAGGCGAGGAAGCCGCGTTCACGACATACACAGCGGGGTCGGTCGAAGGAGACGTTGTTGGACAGAAGTGGAATTTCTGTTTCTGTGCAGAGAAAAGAGGCGGGATCGATGCATGGGAACGAAGCAAACACAGGGTGCATGAATGCTGAGCTTCAAGAGGCCGAGCGATTAAGGGTGCAACGGCGGTGACAGACGGAAGGGAAGTTACCGGAGCAGAAGCCTGGAGAGAATGTGCCTGAGCAGAAGAACGCGGAGACCAAGGTTGAAGTGCCGGATCGGCAGCGCAGAGAAGGCGGAGAATCCCCTGCAAAAAAGGCGACGCAATATCTTGACGACGACCGAACGAGCGCAGAGCCGGGAAACGCGCAGAAGACGGATGCAGCGCGACAGAGCGGTGTCATGCACGGCTTCGATCGTGAGGCGCTTCAATAATCATTGAAGCCGTTTATAAGGCAGTATGTGGAGGACGTGATAACACGGGCGTTACAGAACCATAGGGAAGATACAACACTAAAACAGCTCCAGTTTGCGAAGTCGCTGAAGGAAGAGATACTGGCCGCAGTGCACGGGAAGACAGAGATGGAAATCGGCAGGGCAAGCATGCCGCAGTCGCCTGCAGGTATGCCCGCTCTAGTTTCGTTGGCGCGATCAAATGCAGATGCCGCCCCTTCCACGCCCTTGCAGCAGACTAACATCCATGGCGCGCCCCTGGGGGATTCGGTGGAGGTGGAAGTGGTAGATAAGCGTTCAAGAAAAGGGAGTGAGAGAGTAGCGGACCATCTGCAAGTAACAGAGGAGGGCAAAGGCAAGGTGGAAGAGGGGGCGAAGCTGGCAATGGGGGATCCGTTGGAGCAGAGAGGTTTGGAAAAGAATGAGGGTGCTGCAGAAAACTATGGAGTGGACGTGCAGACAGAGGGGAAGGAAGTCAAAAACGGAGCGGATCTAGAGAAACAAGTCGAGATTTCAGATGGCAAGGTGGCAGCGAGGGTGGATGAGCCTGAAACAGAGGAGAAGCGGGCAGAGTTGGCCCCTGAACTGGAAAAAATGGAAGCGGAAGAGAAGCGTTTGGCAGAGGAAGAAGAGAAGGAGAGGGGGCGGGCTGAGGAGCAGAAAAGGGTTCTGGAGTCGAAGAGGGCGCAGATAGCTGCTGCACGACTCAGTCTGAAGCAGGGACAGATTCCGGAAGAGCAGGGTGGTGACAAATCGGTTGTGGGAACCTCGGGTGGTGACGAGCTTCGTCAAAAGTCTGAACACTCAGATGGGGATCTACGGACGAAAAGGCATAGAGATGTGCTGGGGGAACAGAGCGGTTCGCAAACGGGGGGAGATGAAGCGGCCGCAAGCGAAGGGGATGGGACCGAGGGAGGGGGAAAGAAGCGGAAGGTTCGTGTTGAACCAGACAATCTTGGGAAGGTGTGGGGAGTAGATGATCGATTCAAGGCAGGAGGGTTTCTCAGGCGGAAGAAGGGAACAGTGGCAGCAAAGTTCTGCTCTGAACAGACAGTGGGTGGGAAGAAGAGAAATTTGGGTAATTTTGACTGCGAGCGCTGCAGGAACTTCAGTATTGTCATCTGCTGGATGGCCTACTATCCAGATACGGACTTACTGGCGTACAACATCGCTGCGACGGACGTCCAAGCGTGGTCCGAGCATCTGAGGTTCGCGAAGCGTATGCCGACCGGCGTCTGGAGCGTTCTCAACGAGCTGCATCTTTGCCGGCTTGAAAAGTGAGTTACGTTTCTTGCCCTGCATTGTCGAGTTGTACTTGTTAACGAGACATTGCTTGTTCATCTTCCCCCCTCACCAGCTTCGGTGCCGTAATGAAGAAAACCAACGAGCGTCTGGCAAAGGGAGCAGATTGGCAGACTGGACTCTGCGAAGGAATTGGACTGGCAATGCTGATTGGCTGCACAGGTGTGGAGCCGGCGCCTGACGATGTCCCACCAGCCGTGTATGCTGCTGGAGTAGCATCTGCACTCTACACGTTATGGGGAGCGTCGATTGGTCAACCTCTGGACGATGTCAAAACAGGCGCCATATCTGTCGCGGGCGTCACCGTCAACGACAAGGAGTTGCCCGAGAGTGCGGCAGAAGCTGCACGATGCGGCGTGGTTGCATTGCAACAAGTCGCGGACAAACATCTCGTAAAGAAGGAATGGCCCTCCGTTTTGGAGGGCAAAATTGTCGAGATCCAGAACGTGGTTGAAGTGACCAATCTCGCCAGGGTGGTAGCCAGGGTGATGGTCTACTGGTGTGAATGTAGCTTCGCTGCGGGGGGACTGGCTCGCCACCAAGGGGCAGCCCTTTCCATTGTGCCGACGCGACGTGGGCGACGTGGGCAGAAGGGGGAGAAGGGGGAGAAGGGGGAGAAGGAGGAGAAGGAGGATGAGTGATTGACGGGTGTTTTTTTTAGTTAGATTGTACATAGTTTTGTTGCTACAATGGAGAAGTACTATAAGAATGTGTTGCATACATCTACTGCTCCTTAGTGGTGTTTAGCGATGAACCAATTTGCACAACATATCCTGTCACCTCTGTCTACGAGAACGGGGTCTATTAAGCGATACTGAAACGGCACTCTACTATAGTGCTCACCGTACGATACGTTGCTGTCGATGAACTATACTCTGCCTCTGCCAAACTTGTCGGTATCGTTAAACTGTCAACCAACTTGCAAAAAATCTACAACTACAAATTTTAGGAACACTCATTTCCGGTGTTCCCATTGGTCAACACGGTTTCTCGACCTTTCAAAACTTAGTCAGTCAACATCTACCTTGGGACTAAACTAAGGTCCTACTCGTCTGCATCAATGGTCAATATCCTCTCGATTTCCCATGAAAGTGTAATCATCTACAGTTGCACACGGTTGTAGAGGAGCTGCCGAAGCATGCGGCCGAAGCTGCTCGATGAGGCGTAGATGCATTGCGAACATTGATGAGGTCGTTTGAACTATCAACAATCCTCCAGAAAATCTACAAATACAATTTTAGCAGACAATCTCTACCGGTGTTCCCATTGGTCTGCACGGGTTCTCGACCCATCACAAAATAGACAGACAAAATCTACCTTGGGACAAAAAAAGGTCCTACTAGTCTGAACATACAGACACAATGGTGATAGGTAACGCGTAGAGTTTAAAAGGTTCCTCTAAGATAGGGGATATAGTAAACCACCTCCAAAATCCCTTGCTTCTACACTCCCAATCACGCGCCAGGCCTTGTCTTCAAAGGTTTTCCAGACTCTTCGTCCTTGATCGACAACCACTCAGATTTGCCGAATAGCAGTTCCCCCCATTTGTCGTCGCGCAGACCATAATGGAAGAGGAGGTACGAAACCCTCTCTTGCGCATCGTTCGTGAGGCTTTTCCCCCCAGCCGTCGATGTTCGCTGCCTCTTCGCGTTCCTCCTATCCTTGACAAGTAGCCCATCTGCGAACGTAGAGGGAGAAGTCTGGAACAGCACCTCATCAAGCACGTTCACCGCCTCTGTCGTCGCCGAGTCCGAATCGTCCGCCCTGAACTTTTCCACCGCTGCCATAGCTTTGTGGTTGCGACGCAGCTGCTTTTCACGGGTATTATCCTTGTCCTCCAGACGCACGGTGGGTTTGAACTTGCCTTTCTGTCCCTTGATCTCCTCACCCGTCTTGAAATGCGCCCATTTAACGATGAAGCCCGTGTCCTCTGCCACATCACGCAGATTTCGTCCTTTCACGAGGAAGCTGGACTTGTTCCACAGCGCCCATGCCTCCGCCACTGTGGTGCAGTCACGCCACGGCCGCACCACAGTGTCGAAGTAGTAGATCTCTAGTGTGGGTGTCGCCGTCTGTGGGGTAGATGGGCCAGCACCGCCATTGTCCGAACGCGAGGAGCCCTCGCCTTTTGCAGCAGCGTTGTCGACGCCGATGTTGCCCGGCGAAGAAACCGTGAGAGCGGCCAGCGCGGCTTTGAGCTGCGCAATCTCCTCCGCCATCTTGTTTTGAGAGCTCTACTTCTCACGAAGTTGGGCCTCAAGATCGGCGTTGCGGACGTCCTTCAGCCCACTCGCCTTCCGCAAGCAATGGATCTCTGCGTGGAGGTTCTGCAGCTCTTGCTGGCCCTCGATACGGAAAATAGCGTTCTGCCAAACGGAAACATGTTATTCGGATTGATATCGCGAATTTGCAAACATTAAGAGCGGAATAAAGGCACTTACGGCTTGCATCGACTGCCCCGCGTTTTCCCTCATGTCCTGGCCGTTTTTGTCCATGGTTGCAACAATCTTGGCCCACTTTTGAAACAAGGGCTCCTTGCAGAGACGGCTTATCTCCACATATGGGTGTCGCGTGCAGTTGCATCGAGGAGCATTTGGGTCCCACTCGTCGTAGCAGCGACAGTGGATCCACATCATTGCAAGGTCTTGCGCGACCACATCCCGACCGCACTTGATGAGGCACTCCAAAAACCTCCTCCCAGAGTGATGCTGCTTGTAGGGGGTCCTTCGACTGTTGTATTTATCGACCTGGTGGTGAGGGAGGTTTGCAAAGCCGTAGAGATCCAAAAATTGATTTGCTCATCTGCGCAAAAATGGTAAACTCAAACTGCAAAGTTTACCCTTTTCATCTGCCTCTCGGCCCAGGGGAAGATGTGTTTCTTGAAAAGCTTCTTCAGCTTCTTCCACTCCGTATCGTCTGGGAGGACAGCGTGTGCTCTGCCGATGTAGTAATCTCCCGGAGTTCCGGTAAACCCAGCCAACAGGAGCATCGGATGAAAAGGAATTCCAATAATGTACGCCTTGCGCATCTCTCCCTGCTCCCACCCACCCAGAGCGCCAATTTCATTATCGGGGCAACGGTCGTCGCTCAGACTCTGCGCCCCCGATCTGCGGAAAATGTGGGTCACCTTGCTGAACATCCACTTTGCCTGTGTCATGACCCAGCGGATCCAGTTGTTGTGAGTCACGTACTTCATCTCGTCTTGCGTCTGCGGACCAGGTTCGTTCGGCTTCCTTATGCCAAAGAAAAGGTGCTTCTTGGTCCACTTTCGCGGCTTCCGAAAGTTCAGACGACGTACGACACCTTTCCCGTATCGAATCGGAACGAGATCGTAGAGCCAATGAATCCACAAGAAAACACCGCCAACGCCACAGAGCTGCCAGTCGATGTGCCTTGCCAGATACTGATGTGTGAGGTTATTCGAAAGGTTGGTCTTTGTCTTCCTCGAGGCTATGACGAGCACAGGAAGGTCGGCCTTGCCTTTTTTGCGGGTGCTGCTGCGGCAGAGGCGGATGAACATGTTGGCGAAACGGATCTTCCGAATGGAGACCCCCCTTCCCAGGCCTTGGTGCGCCAGCTGAATCATGACCTCTTCGGCGAGAACCCTCCACAGCGTCTGACTTGGGAAATCCTTGCTCCTCGCATAGATCTTGAAAGTCGCCTCGGGAAGAATGTTGTGGTGCAGCTCCGCGTACTGATCTGCGTTGTAGCAATCGTCGAGAGACCCACGGTGCTGATCCTTGCCGGTTCTGCACAGACATTAGGGAAGGCGTTATACACTGATCTGCTGATCGACAACGACTCTGTAGAGTCTTCGGTTATGAAGAGCAAAATGAGTCATCGGTGCTTCACATCTACCACAACCAATGGCTCACCGAATCTGCTCCTCGTTGAGGTTGACCAGCTTCACTTTCATAAACGCCCTGCTGTCTTGCATCTTCGAAATGGGGTAGTCGTACAGTGCAGACTCGCATCTGCCGAGGCAGCCAATAGCGTTCGTCTTCGCCTTTATCATCTTTGGTGTGCTGGGCATGGGCTGCCTCCCGGCAACGACAGGTGCATCTCCCTTGAGGGTACGCGCTTGTGCAGGGGTTTCAGAGAACAAATACTCCATGTAGTGGATAATCCTCCACCCGGTAACACGAGGTCCGTGTAGATGCTGCTCAGAGTCTTCCACCCTTGCCCACGAGAGTTTCGCGTCGTCGCCCATGTACATGCCAACTTCGTCTGGGTTTTCCGGGTCAATTATCTCAGCTTCTGGAATCACGTCTGCCAGCAAAGTCATCATCATTGTAGTAACCCAACGCTTGTAATGGCGCCAGTTGCAGGCATACTGTCCTCTAGTGACGGCGGATAACTTGTCGACGTGCACGCTAGCGAGCAATTTCCTGTGATCTCTCTCGGCGTCGCTCAGCGGGGGACCGCTCCCCAGGAAGATGGGGTCGTCGTGAAAGAGGGGACGACGAGTGTGGCTTGAATTCTCACCGTCTTGGCCTTGCGATGGTGGCTGTCTCTGCGCAGATTGGTGGCCCTGTGAGTGTCGTTGGCTCTGCGCAGATCGCCGACCATGGGAAGGTCGTCGGCCCCGCCCTCGTCGACGACCCTGCGCGGACCGTTGGCCCTGCAAAGGTGGTTGGTCCTGTGCAGATGGTTGGCCTTGCGACGGTCGAGTGGGGTTCGAATTCTCAACACCTACGCCCTCGGAAGCTCTGTTGTGGCTTGTATTCTCACCCTCCTGATCCTGCTCAGTGCTTTCCCCCTCCGCCATGTCGTCGTCGCCGCTGGCATCGCTAAAATCGGAGTCCGTCTCGTCATCGTCCTCGTCGTCCGAACTGTCGCCTTCGTCGTCTCCCTCGCTTGCGTCCGTATACTCGGTCTCCTCCTCTTCACCGTCCTCTTCCTCTCCCTGCCGTTCTTGTTCAATCTAGATCGGGTCGCCATATTCGGACTCCGTCTCTTCATCGTCCGCTTCCTCTGCATCTGCTTCCGGGCCTCCCACTTCTTCACGCTCCCCTTCCTCTGCACCTGCGTCCTGGCCTCCGACTTGTTCACGGTCCCCTTCCTCTGCACCTGCTTCGGGGCCTCCCTCTTCTCCACCCTCCCTTCCCTCTGCAAATGGTGCCGGGCCTCCATCTTCTGCAGCAGCCGCGTTCCCCTCTTCTACGAGTGGCTCTGGCCCCTCTGCGGCGTCGTAATACGTGTCTTCAACGTCGTAATCGAAGATGAGATCGACTCCGACATCCTGCGCATAGTCATCTTCGGCATCCGTTAATTCGTCGTCGTCCTTCTCCTCGACCCCGACCATTTCTTGCCGTAAAACAAGGAGCCAGTCGATCCCATCGGTGGACATTGGATTCTACAGAAAAATAAACCGCGCCTAACTATGTAAACCTGATATCGGTTCGGCAGGTTCAGTGTGCATGCAATAACGAACCTACCTACAGGGGAATCTGTACCAGCGAGAAGTGGTCGCTCAACGACAAATCGATCAATGTACGAGGTCAGGGCGCTTCAGTGGTTTTGTTGAACTAGCAAACATTAACTATGTAATCCGAATAGATATAAACTGATGCGACATTATAGAGTGGCGATGAACCGTACTGTCGTCGAGGAGTATCCGATTCTACCTAGATGGCTATTTCCAGAGAAATATTTTTGACTCGTTTTAGAGATGTTGGCAGATGAAGAGGTAGATCTACGGACGAGCGTTACGAAAGAGGACGGAGACTCGGTGCTGTCTTCATAATGCTCTTTGGTAGACAAGCGTATCAGATTGTACATGCGTAACCTTCTAAACTATCGTGTTGCAGAATTGCTATCGAGATGCTTCTACAACTGCGATGTCTCGATTTCGGGAGGAGCTGCAGAACCTATCTTCTAATCTACAATTGGAAACTTGGACGGTCGGGCAGCCCTAAAAAAAAACATGGCGGACAACGCTAATCGTCTACGCAATACCGGATCTACCGTCTGCAGACTTTCTACGAGGGCAGCAGTGGGAGATTATAGGCGGAGGGGGTGGGGTGTTGAGGACTTGGCAAAAAATAAAAAAGATGAAGCATGTGCAACAGCACAAGGAGGACCTCGAATAGGCCATCATGAAAAAACGTGATCACGGAAAAAAAGAAACAGAATGAGGGTGAGAACCAGCTTTGAAGCCACACCTTGAGCTGAATCCACTAATCAGGTCGCCCGGTTTTCAGATCTGGATCACCTGGCCACCTGCCAATTCCAGGGTCGACGGTTGGCTCCTGGGTCAAATTGGGGATAAGGTCGTCTGGTATTGGTTCACGCATCAGAGGAGAAAACCTGGTCGACGATTGGTCGACCCAGTTTTGCTGTCAGAATACACCGCGTCGTCGATAAGAGTTTTGGTAATGTATTCAAACGCATTCTGCTGCACGAGTTGCAACACATTTGCTTAGTGGTGGCGGCAGCCGAGTGGCAAGGTGTGTCTCTTCGACGGTACAGTGACGATATTGTTGACTCTTCTGCACGTAAAAAATCTTATGGGTTGTTTACGGCATGATTCCGACCGCAATTATTCGCTCGAAGGCGACTGCAAGTTTACGTGAAACGCGGCGGATAGGCTTGCAAACGAACGGACGTTGCAGAGTACAGCGCAATGGGCACTTGTACTCTGCTGTAAAAATGGCAACCAGAGTTTGAAAGCGAAGCACTCTGTAGAGAGTTCTGTCAAACATTATATGTTTACATTGTGTAGGCTATAGTGGGTTTAGCCTTAGGGGGTACAACAAACTTAGGGTTTCCTACTTGTACCCACTTTCTGCTAGTTTCATTCATTCTCGTTCTTACTTTGTAACATGGTATTACGAGCCTAGGTCGTAACCTAGGACCGAACGATAGGGCCCACCGTTCCGCTAGAAGCGCCCTCGAGCGCCGTATCTCATTAGCGCCCTCGAGCGCCTCTCTCCTAGTGCGCCCTCGTGCGCCTCTCTTCCTCCTGCTGCCCGTGCGCAGCTCGCTAGTGCCGCGCGCGGCCTTTTCTTTTAGCGCGCGTAGCCCGCTAGCAGCCCGCGCGCGACCGTTTTTAAGCGCGCGCCGACCCCTAGCCGCCCGCGCGACCGTCGCCGCCCACGAGCAGCCCCCTAGCCGCCCGTCGACCGCCGCCCAGAGCGTCGCAGCCCGCCCTTAGGCCGCCGCGACACCCCTCTAGGCCGCCGCCCGCGCGCTAGTCAGGCCCACGCACAGCCACGGCCCGCCCGCTACAGCCGCCCACGCGCACGCCCCCCGTCGCGCTCCGCCACGTAGCCCAGTCCGAGCCGAGCCGAGCCGCCCGAACCAAGCCGCGCCGCCCGAACCGAGCCGCGCCGCCCGAACCGAGCCGCGCCGCCCTGGCCGAGTCGCGCCGCCCTACTGTGCCCCACCAACTACTACTACTGCTACTACTGCTACAGTTGCTACTGCTACTCCTGCTACTGCTACTGCTGCTACTGCAACTATGGCTAGCCCCTCTGTACTAGCTTCCGATGCTGAGGGCCGCCCACTGAAGTTTGAGACCTGGCTCGATGACCTTCACCTATTCCTCCAGCTCACTGCCAAGGAGGATATCTCACTGTACGATCACGCGCTAGGCCATGCTGCTGCCCCTGCTGCTACTGCTGACAGTACTGCCCGCTCACAGTGGCAGACTCGTGACGCCCACACACGCTTCGCTATTCGCAACTCCCTGCCGATCGATGAGCGTGAGCACTTTGGCCAGCACAAAACAGCGCAGGCACTGTACACTGCTGTAGTGGCACGCTACTCCTCACCTGCTTCTGCTGCGCTAGGCCGTCTCTCGCTCCCCTACCTGTTCCCCGACCTGTCCGCTTTCTCCACAGTCGCTGACCTCATCACGCACCTCCGCACTAGTGAGGCCCGCTTCCGTGCCGCTATGCCCGCTGAGTTTCTTGCCACCCACCCCCCCCCGCTCTGGCTCACTCTCTACCACCTGGTCACCCGTCTCCCTGACTCTCTTCGTGCGGTCAGGGACCACTTCCTCGCTCGCTGCCCCACTGAGCTCACCGTTGACCTGCTCGAGAAGGAACTGCTTGCAGCTGAGACTAGCATAGTCGCTGTAGCTGCCTCTTGTGGCGACCCCCGCACCCCTTTCTTCGAGGGGTGTTCCCCTTCCCCCCTTCTCCCCTCTGTCGCCTCTGCTGCTGCTGTCGACCTCGTTGGTACTGAGCAGGTCGGGACTGCGTCCGCTCCGAGCTGGCGCCGCAACGGCAAGGGCAAAGGGGGCAAGGGAGGTGGAGGTGACGGCGGGGGAGGCGGTGGTGGGGGCGGTGGCGGCGGTGGGGGCGGTGGCGGGGCTGGAGGGGCTAGTGACAGCGGTGGGGGTGGTGGCGGCAGCAGCGGAGGAGGTGGCCGGGGTGGGGGCGGTGGTTGGGGTGGCGGTGGACACGGAGGCGGCAGGGGCGGTGGTGGTCGAGGTGGTGGCGGCAGCGGTGGTGGTCGTGGAGGCGCTGGCGGTGGCCAGAGCCAGCAGCACACTCCGTCTTCCCAGGAGCTTCATGAGTGGTACTCTCAGCACGGGGGGGGGGGTGGCCTTAGCTGCACGTACGTCATCCGCACTGGTGACCGCACTGGCCAGACGTGTGGGAGGGCGCACACCACGCAGCGCTGCTTCTCCCGCCTTGACGACGCTTGGCGCACTCAGTTCCCTACTGCCACTGAGCTGCCCCGCTGGGCTGACCTGATGAAGAAGAACATTGATATCTATGCTCTTGACTTTGATGCTATTCTCACTGCAATGTATGTGTTGTCTACAAGTGGAGAGAGTGCCCAGTACCTGCGTGTTCCGCCCGACCCGGGCATTCGGACCAGTGAGGCTGCCGCTCTAGGTGCTAGTGCGTCTGTTGCCCTAGGTGCTGGTGAGGCTGCCGCTCCAGGTACTCGCGTGTCTGCTGCCCCAGGTGCTGGTGAGGCTGCTGCTCTAGGTGCTAGTGAGTCTGCGCCCCCTGGTACTGAGTCTACTGAGGCACTGCACACCTTCACTCTCGACTCAGGTGCTTCTCGCTGTTTCTTTCGTGACCGCACTGCCCTTGAGCAGCTTGCTCGGCCAGTTGCTGTCTCCCTCGCTGACCCCTCTGGGGGTCCGGTCATTGCGACCTCCTCCACTGTCCTTCCTTGTCCTGCGGTTCCGTCGGGCACACTGTCAGGTCCACCTCCCCTCGTTCTCTACGAACTTGGTGGCGGGTTGTGCGCTCCAGGACGGGGGTGTCCACCAGTTCACCCCTGCCTACGAGCGCGTGACACACTGCACGTGTGCTCGGACGGGCCGTCACCTGGCTACCTTCACTCGGCAGCCGGGGCCGGACCTGTACACACTGACCACTGAGTCCCCTCAGGTAGCTCCGTCTGCGTCTGCGTCAGGTCAGCTGTCTGCCCCCTGCTCGTGTCGCTCTCTGGCGCACGAGACTGTTCTCTGGCACCACCGCCTTGGTCACCCGTCAGTGCAGCGCCTTCGTGGCATGCACAAACGGTACCTTGTCTCTGGTCTTCCTAGGGATCTCCCTCCCCTGCCACCCTCGCCTGCTCCTCCCTGTCTTCCCTGTGTCGAGGGGCGGCAGCGCGCCGCTCCTCACTCCTCCTCGTTTCCCCCGACGACTGCTCCCCTGCAGACGCTACACATGGACGTGTGGGGCCCAGCCCGCGTCCGTGGACAGGGTCAGGAGAGGTACTTCTTGATAGTTGTTGACGACTACTCGCGCTACACCACGGTCTTCCCCTTGCGCACCAAGGGTGAAGTCCCTGGTGTTTCGATCCCTTGGATCCGCGCTGCCCGTCTCCAGCTCAGCGAGAGGTTCCACTCCGACTTTCCTGTCCTGCGTCTGCACTCTGACAGAGGTGGGGAGTTTTCCTCCGACCTCTTGAGGGCCTTCTGTCAGGGGGAGGGCATTGAGCAGTCATTCACGCTTCCGGCCTCTCCACAGCAGAATGGGGTTGCTGAGCGCCGCATTGGCTTGGTCATGGAGGTCGCTCGTACCTCCTTGATCCATGCGGCTGCCCCCCACTTTCTGTGGCCGTTTGCGGTCCGGTACGCCGCGCATCAGCTCAACCTCTGGCCCCGTGTCTCCTTGCCGGAGACCTCGCCCACACTGCTGTGGACGGGGAAGGTTGGCGATGCGTCGCGTTTCCGGGTCTGGGGATCTCGAGCTTTTGTCCGCGATACGTCCGCGGACAAGCTCTCCTCCCGCGCTGTTCCTTGTGTCTTCCTTGGCTTTGTCCCGGACGCGTCTGGTTGGCAGTTTTACCACGCCACCTCGCGCCGTGTCCTGCCCTCTCAGGACGTCACTT